CAACAGTAGAAAACACACCATTTGCTTTGATAAACCATGAAGGACAAAGGATAGACTGAATGGGAAAGATGGAATGATATAAGAGTAGAGAGTCCAGACTACCTCACAAGGGACCAGACAAATGGTGTGGTTATGGCAGTAAGACACACAAATGTCTGAGGTTGCCGAAGTAGGGAGTGGGAAAGTGGAAGTGGTAATGAAGGGAAAGACTGAAGGTGGGTAAGGACTGGAAACCATAGTTAAGCAGCCCAGAAAGGGGCAATAAAAAGGGCTCAACACAGAGTGATTTGGATAAGGGATAAAATCTGGTTGAGTAGGCAGATTGGAGGATAGGCAGAAAAGAAAAGGCTGGACCAATCCTGAATGAAGGCATCTACTGAAAAAGCCAAAGGATGTGGAACCAGGGACCAGCAGGAGGAGTTTGGAACTGAGAAGGGAGGCAAATGCATCCAGAAGCAGAGTACCACACTGGGTGCACAATCACTGAAACACCTGGAGATCTAGGGACAACTGGAACTGCAACAAAACTCAAAGCACCTGGAATATGATATGCCAGTAGACGAATGTGATGAGAATGAGCCCAGAAGAGGAGTTCCAAAATTCGAAAACAAAGCAATTGTGAATGGATGCTCCCTTGTTGATTGATGTAATAAACAATGGTTGAAGTGATGGAATAAATCATGACCAATTCACCCCCATACTAATGCTAGGAAATGACCCAAAGCCCAATGAACAGCAAGTAGCTGCAGAAGATTGATGTGTAGAGGTGATTTGACCAACAATCTGTGATCTTCTCGGAATTCATAAACACCCCCAACCCATCAGAGATGCATCTGTAAAGAAGATGCAAATCAGGACAGGGAGGCAGATGAGGAACACCAGCTGTGGCATTGTCTTTGTTGAGTAACCAGGCAAAATGGACATGTTGTGAGGGAGGAAGAAGGATAATGAGGTCCAGAGGATCTCAAGCAATATTCTATTGATTGTGCAACACACACGTGAGAATGACCCAAGGGAATGAGGGCATCCATACAAGCCCAAGTCCCCAAAAAAGATAGAACCTCTCATGTAGTGAGAGAGAAAGAGGATTGAACATCAAGAACTAAGAGCTTTATCAAACTCAACTGAAGAGGAGAAGGCTGGATGAAGGATTGGTTCAGGATGAAAAAGAACTTCTCTAATCTGACCAGCCAACCCACAAGAGCAGCCACTTTAGAGAAGTAAATGTCTGGATATTGTGGAAAGAGGGATGTGAAAGTAAGCATGCAAGATGTCTGCCTTGGTCATCCTAAGACCTGGAAGAAGTGCCCACCACAAAGTGAGGAAGTACTTCATGGTGGAATGAGAAAGCTTGATGAAATGGTTGAGACTGGAGAGAGATCTAAGACAGGATGCCAGTTCCCAATCTTCTTAGGAACTACGAAAAACTAAGAATAAAAACCCAAGAAAAGGATGACTGATGAGTTTGATTGCATCTTTGTGAAGAAGATCTTGAACCTCTTCAGACAGAGGCTACAAGGAAACTGGATTCCAAGGAGGAGGGAAGGGAATGGGATGTGGTGATAATGGAAGAGGGGGTCAGAAATGAAGGAAGAGTCCATTGAATAACACCTGAAATATCCAAGGAGCCATGGTGAAAGTGCTCCATAATCAAACACCTCTGGACAAAAGTGTTCTAACCATGCTAGAGCTGATGGTATAGTGACAGATGCTGTTGGTGGTAGGGGATTCAGCGATGAGCAATCTGACAGCCAGCTGCTGAGGCTCAGGAGAGAGGTACAGTTAAGTGGGTGAAAGGAAGAGGGTGAGATAAAGGAATGGGAGCAGGAAAGGGTTGTGAAAGACAAGAGACCAATGATGAAAGGGGGAAATGTTGAACAGCAGCCTCCACTTGGACTCCAATGAGTCAGGAAGATATCCAAAGACTAACTGGCATAAAAACGGAGCCATATGATGGTCATGCAAAAAAAGAAGTGAGGAGGTGCACATGAAAGAAAAGCACATCTCTATCCAGGCGATCCCAACAACAGAGAAGTTAAGTGTGTAGGGAAAGGGCCAAGGAAGACAAGTTTGTCAAGAAGGAATGAGTATTTGCCAAGAACCCCTCAGGGGAATGGTAGATAGTCTCAGGTAGGATGTGGATAGGGGAGAGGTAATGCAGGAGTATGATGAGGGTCAAACGGAGATGGGAAAATTGGGCATGGGAAAACAAATTAATATCGGGGTCAGATCCCTACACCTGAATCAAAGACTAAGTTCTGTGAATCCAAAAAAGGGAATTCTGACTAATGATATGCTAATGCATAGGAATAAGAAGAATAAGGAGGATGAGATATGCTAACCCCAGAACATAAATGACAAAGGGGATACAGAGAAAAGGGAGCATGCCTGAGAACATCATATTGGGATTGCAAGGTGAAGGAAAGAGGTGGTAACAAGCTATCGAAATAATCATCATCCTGACCAAATTTGCCAAGAAATGGTATATTGGATCAGGTATCAGGAGACACTGCAGGCTGCATGATGGACACCAACTCCTGGTGAATTAAGACCAAAACCTACTCAGCAGAAACAGTGGATCCAGAAGCCAGAGAAACTGTTGGTTGATGTGCTTTGACAGTAGGAGCAAGAGTAGTAGTTGTTGTACCTCGAAATTGTGAACTCAGAATCCACAATGACAGTGGAAGTTATTAAATCAACCTAAAATATCAAGTGAATGTAAAGAAAACAAAAAGGTAGAAACAACGAAGATAGTTGCCAAACAAAAAACAAACTTGATGCAAACATGAGCAAAAACTAGAGACTGTACACAGCAGTATGCCAAACTGAGAAGTGGAGATTGGGCTCAACAGTATACAGGGAGCCAGCTGTGTCAGGAAAGTATGTTGCACTCCTATTGGTGGAGTGTTGTTGCATGCTTATTTGCAAGCTACAGCACAGCTGTATCACGTGGAAACACACAATGGTAAATAGGAGTATCAAGGCTATTTGCAAGTGAAAACTGTGAGTATAGAGGAAAGCAATGAGTGAGAAAAGCTATTATGTGAAAAGAAGTAAGGTATTGTATAGGAATTTGAAGTTATACACTAGAGAAAAGGCAATTAATCAACACCACACACCACCTAGTCTTGGTTCAACTCTTTATCAACAAATAGTAGTATTGATTGCCACATCATAATGCCTACATGAGTGAAATAGCAAACATGTTCAGTGACAACTTTTGAGTCAGTAACTCACATATGGCAAATTGAGCATCCTAACCACCTGGTCATGCCAGGCAACTTGATAAGAACACCATATTATAGCATTATATGTATTCCACACAATTTATAATAAAATATCAAATACAATTACACAACAACGTTATATCACAGAATAGCTACCTGAACCTTGAAATTGTAAAGAATTCTACAGCTGTATTTCACAGAATTGATAATTGAAGACAATGGTTTTATGACAAGAACAAACATTAATGAGTTCAAATTCGATGACGAGGAACCTACTTTGAGACTAATAATGGCTGAAGATGGCTTGAATGGGTAATGAAGAAAAACATTAATATAAATATATAAATACCTGATGATGACAAAACCTTGTTGAAACGTTGTACATTTGCTGTTATGTTAAACTTATATTAAAGTTTTTCTTCATTACCCATTCAAGCCATCTCCAGCCATTATTAAACATTAATGAGGACTACAAGGAGCCAGATACTCTAACTCCAAGCTATCCTTTTCTGGAAGCCTAAACATAGGATACTCTGATCTGTAATGTTTTTATTAAATCTTACCATAAATCTGTATCAATACTTAAAACAACAGCTATTATACTAATTTGTATCTTATTCAGTCTCTTAAATCTTTTGTTTTATGTTTAACTTTTTATACATTTTTCATTTATGATTTTGTTTAACCTTTCATTTAGCATTTATAGGTAGTTCTGCACTTTTACTTTAATTAGACTATATTAATATGAATTTATTTTAATTTGATGTTATTTATTTTCTACTGTATGAATAAAGTAACATGTTGTAAGTAAGTGTCACACCATCATGTGTGTTGTATAAGGTAGTGGTTACAGGAAGTTATGGCCTTGTTATATCAACTTCTAATTCTGCTTTTTAATGTTTCAATTTAAGATTCAAACCGAGGAATGAACTGAGATAAAAAAAAGGGAAGTATTGTTGAAAGAACTGATAATCTTACCCTTCTACACATGGAAAGAATAAATTTGTATTCACGTAAGTGTTTCATCCATGTGTTCTGCATGTAACTAGTACTTGGTGCTAATTCCTTACCTGACTCTTGTTTCTGAGTTATACTTTTCTGGATTAAGGACATACCCATTTTGAGAAATGGTGAAGAGGCCAGTACAAGTTAGTAAGAGATGAAGTTTGTTTTCCTGGGAACTGCATAATCTAGTATTGTGGAAGTTCATACTAAGACTTTTGTTCTGAGATATACACCAATATTCTGATTCATCTCTCTGCCTCAACAGGCAGAAAAATCATAATAACGAATACAGAATCTTAAAAGAAAAGAATTGCCTTGATCATGAACAAACTTTTAATTGCTCATTTGCATTTTCTTCAATGTTTTGCCACTTCTGTTCAATTTACTTTTTGCTTAATATAACCTGAAACTATGATATTGTGGATACTTAATGCTTTTCTATCAGAGATCAGAGTTTCTGAATACCACAAATTCATGTATGTGTATAATACATATAGCTATTTGATAATTCTAGTTGCATAATTTAATCATACATATTTAGAAGTTATTATTAAATCATGGTGATGGCTTGCTAGTTATGTAATAAATATTATTGTTCTGTATGACAACTATCTAACAGCAGCGTATATTTTTTTGGAATCCAGTTTTCTACTCTAATAAGTTCATAAAAGTTCTGTTATTACAGAAAGTATTATCCTAAAAATTGGAATCACCCATATTAATCAAAATTATAATTAATTCAAATATCTAAACAATAAGAAAACTTACAGCCCATGATTTCCCCTTGAAGCCAAGAAGAGCACATTGGACTCCATCAGCTGCAAATGATATTACATTCTCTCCTAGATGCGTATCACGATATAATGCTCGCAGGATGTTCATGGCATGGACCTAGAAATCAATTTAATGTTAATAACTATTAGAACTTGGTTAGAAAAAACATATGCAATTTATTTTACACTATACATAAAGTTCATTTTAAAAATGTCATATAACAAAATAAAATATAACGTTTAGGAACCTTGACTGCAAACCATATAAAGTTAAATGTAGAAGTTTATGATAGGAAATATCAACAAATACAAGTTTTGAAACAAATTCCCTTTTTCCTTTACCATTACTTAAACTGATGTAATGTGACAATTAAGAATACATGCCAAAACAATATATATATATAAATAAAACATTACAGGTGGAACCTGCAAATAAAATATAATTGCAAAGCATAAACATATATATTCATAATGTAATTTAACAGAAAAGTATGTCCTTTCATTTACTACTTCCTACCTAAGATAAATTTGAATACACGTCTACATTCTTATAGCACTAGCCTAGTGGTTGTATTTTTTTAAACCACACAGTTATCTAATTAAAATGTCAGGAAGCCATCTATTCATCCATCATTTTTACGACTCTTTATGGCAACCACATGAATGACAATGATGGCTTAAAATTTGATAGAAAGTGTTGCTTGTTTACTTTGTTTTTATATACATTTCTCATCTCGTTCACCAGGCATTGACTTGGATCAAGATTTTTTGGTTAGTATGGTTTAATGTTCTGTATATTTGCATTAATAACATAGTGAACTAACAAAGAAAATTGCTTAGACTTGCTAATGTTTCAAACCCAATCATTGTGATTAATCATTTCTTTGATATCTGAGAACATTCACAAGTATATCAATCACAACATTCACTTGTGTTTGTTTATCCATTGTATTTATTACTATGATAGAACATATTATAGAATGGGATTGTTTGGTTTTACAAAAATAAGCAATTTTTATTTGTTCCAACAAAAATACAATATTCAGAAAATGTTCTAAAAATAACAGGTTCAATCCTTTCAAGTTAACAAGTTGACTTCTTTATACCAACAACAGAATTTCACTTAATTTAGTTTCAGCCCTGACCCCCAAAAAGGGGTGTATTGTCCAATCTCTTTCCTCGATTGGGTCTAATTAAATTTGGATACACTTTCCAGATATACCTATTGCTAATGCAAGATACTTCTCTTAACTGTCAAATACCCAAGAGTAAACTAAGTATGGAAGAAAGTATGATGCATTGCCTGCACAATTTATAATTCCAGAGTTTCTAAATTTTCACATTTGTGTTTTTCTACATTTGTTTCTACTCTCACTGTACTTATGTTGGAACTTTGGAAAAATTTAGAAATAGCACTTGAAAAAAACAAAACCTGTGAGTGAAAGGATAAGGTGGTCACTGAAAAGAAATGTAATCCAAAATGTTGTATGGTCTCAGAGTAATTCTCTCCTGGACAACAGCCTTACACTATATAAGCAAAGGGCCAAGTCTGCAACCTTGATCCAGCCACATATTCAGGGAGGATTACTGCAGTTTCCCAAGCTGCTGAACAGCCCCCTACTATTGACAACTAAGGGTAATTACTACAATGTATAGAGGTCCTGTGACTGAGTGGGGTGGTCTCTACAGGATCCTCAGTTTGCTATCAACAAATGGAGCTGAGTCTTATTGCTAGTTGTCATCACTAGTGACCAGGATGAGTCTAAAAAGCGAAGTCCATAAGATGGAGCTGTCTCACCATTTGAAAAAGGAGAAAGCACCATAAAAAGGTGCTGCTGACCCACAATATAGCTGAAAGCCTCTCTTAAGAGCAGAACTAGGCTGATGAAACCACTACAAGTCACTGGTGCATAATGGGAATTAGATATTTACACATTAACAGAGGCCATTTATGTGGCAATAAGCAGACACATCAATTTAGATGCAAAAGATGAAGAAGCCACCTAGGCCAGAACAACTTTTAAGAGGTGTCTCAAAATGCTTGTGATCAGCCCTGAGTTCCCCTACTGCAAGCACTTCCTATTGCTTTGACTTAGTAACATTAAATATTATAGAGTGTTTCAGGCTGTTCAGGATATTCCAGAATATTTGTGCAACAAATATAGTAGGTATCTTCTTCCTCCTCCCAGATGGCATTCTGTCCTGGTATGATGAAGTGCATGCTGAAGTAATAGAATGGTAGGGCATTTCAAATGAAATTTTTGTATCTTTTTTTTAGACAAAATAGCAAGAATGTGCAATTCCATCAAGCCACATAACAGTCATATACAAGCCCTAAATACCACAGTTCTGGCTCTACTGAACTAACAAGGGACAGGTTTGGTTTAGGGGGTGAGGGCACTGTAGTTGGCTTGCATTCAATTTTGTAGTGGAAAGATGATTTAATACAGGACTATTTGAGGTTTGGTATGTCCTTTGATGATACAGGACCCACCAGAACTGGTTGACCTTCTGATGTTTCACGCATACTGAATGAAGTCACAACTTCGGCCAGAAAAGTTAATTCTGTTTTGAATAACAGAACTAGAATCAAGGTGAGTGGAGAGAAACTTCAGCTCTGACTATTTTTCCAACAAAATTAATGTCATTTCAATGACTTAGCAGTAAGTACTGGTATCTTTAGGATGAATCTCCAGCAAATGTTATCAGCTAGCATGGTGAATTGCAGTTTTGCAGTAAAAATATCTGATGCTTATATGACAGAACAGAAACAATGTATTGCCTGAGAATATATACAGGAGTTACAGTAACCCGGAATACACAAGTGCAATTCCAAGGTGTGATACAGAGCCAGTCTAGTGTGTTGCTACTGTTATAACTGCCAACACATGAAGCATGCCATTTTCTGTCTAGGAACCAGGCTCCACATGTTCAAAAGTACCTTCTTTGTGCCATTGCTGGTATTCAACTTGCTGCTGAAATATTTATTGGCATAATGACTGGAACAAACACTGCAGCTAGAGTTGCTTCAGCTACACCATATACGAAGACAAATGCAGGGATACCAGAGCAGTTGAGATTGCTAGCTGAGGAACAAGAAAAGAATTTGGTCTCAATACAGTGACAGGAACTTAGTAAATTGCTGGTTGAATTTGTTAGTGTGTTTATGATACCAGACTGACTTTCTTTAAAAACAGTCACAAGCCACCATATAGACATAGGTAATGTGCACCACATAAAACATCTGTTGTGCACATTTTCCTGGAGTTAGGGATGTAGCTAGTATTGAAAGTGAGTGGGTGTTGAAGAACAAGGTAATACACATTTTGGAGAGTGATTGTTCGCCTTCAGCAGTGATTATCAGAAAGAAGGAAAGCATGTTAAGATTCTGTGCAGTCTTTACAAAGGTAAACATGGTCAAACACACACATCAGTTTTCCTGCTGACAAAAAAACAGACACATGTATGAATGCACTGTAATTTGCATACTGGTACAGCACATTAAAGCTGGATTCTTGGTACTGGCAAGTGAAATTGGACAATAAAAACAGACCTAAAACTGTTTTCAGCACAAATAAGAATCTGTATGAATATCATGTCATGGCATGGTTCCATCTGACAAATAGTGAGATCCATAGCTAGCTTAACTTTGCAAGATAGCTGCACTGATGTCTACTCTGAAATGCATCTTAGGTGGACTTAAGACTGTGATCAAGCATTTCAGTCATTAATGAAAGTGTATGAGGTCAGTCTGTTAGACTGACCTCATACTGAAGAAGGAATGCTGACTCCAATTCCAAATTTACTATGTGTATATGTACATGAAATGTAGCAAGTGTTTTATAAAATGTAAAAATCCGTTGTACACAAAAAAATCAGATGTGCTACGAAAACATCGGTATTCAAAACATGTCTGTGGATTAACAACATCAGTCTGACTCAGATTCTGACAAGTCAAAGAGCAAGGTGATGTTCAGTGAAGAACAAAATTATTTTTGTCAATTGTACAGTTTGTATATCACATTTTCATAACTTCAAGAGCCTCCAAAGTACATATATACAACTTGTTTCAGTATTCCTGTATACTGTATCTGATAGCTACTCTTCGCCATCACAAAGTGTTCCTAAATAAGCAGTGTAAAGTAAAATGAATAGTTGATAACACTTACATCAAATACATAATATTATGTTGAATGGCACACTGTAAAAGGTTGTGGCATGTACATTGTAACCTTCACTCATGCACAGAGGGATAAAGTTTGCTTATCCTACATAATATTGTCTAATTACCGTACATATCAGTGATAACAGAATTGGACTGGTATTGTCGCAGGTGCAGGATGGAGTAGAATGTACAAAACATAGGGTATTCATATGATAATGGCTTCTGAATATATATACTGTACAACAAAGAAGAAACTGCTTGTTGTTGTAGCATAGGTCAAACATTGTGGGTACACGTTTTAACAAATTCTCCTTTGCTTACACTCGTGGCTTCTTATAATTATTACAATTTCCTGGGTGATAGAAAAAAAATCACCATTCATCATGCATCTCTGGAATAGATGATGAACTTTAAAAATGTAGAAGGGATGAACATAGATTTGGTTACAGTGTTTCAGGGGGTATAACTATGTTGTTAGCATCATCCAGAGCAGCTCCATGGCAGTGTGGATGAATTATCTTGCAGGTGATGAGTGAGTGTCAATTGTTGAATGACTAAATTCTGAACCTCATGTGACTGAAAAAGCCATTGCGACAAAAGTTACAACTAACCATGCAGTGTAAATCACTTCAATAGTTGGCATCTTGAAAAATCAGAATAGAAAACCATGATCAATATCATACTGAAATGCCATAAATTCTCATGCCTATGTATCTGAGTCCTGAACATCTTTTAAGCACCTAGCAATGTCTCTGGCTATGTACCTTCTTACATACATTACACTGATGTCTATTCTGGCCATTTTTCAACAATAATAGATAGCCATACTCTATCATAGGCACTTTGCATACCCAATGCTACTGCCAAGGTGTTCTGATCTACTCCAAACTATTCCTATGTATCAGCTGAAAATTCAACATTGTTGATCAAGGTTTCTCTTCCACTGAGTTATTCACCTAATGATGAAGGAAATAATCATTTAATCTGATAGACAAGTCTTCTAGCTACAGCCTTCTCCGAGATCCTGCCAATGTTGTTTTGTATGATGATAATTCATTAGCCTTTAAAAATTAGAGTAATCTTTCATGGGTTTGTGTAAGGATTTGATAAAGGCATCAGTCCATATTCCAAGGGTATTGTGTTACCATTCATGTACACATTATTGATTTGGATATGTACTGATAACTTCAAGTAAGCTATCTGGATGTTTGTAACTTACACAGGTGATTCTTCTTCTGAGAGCATAATTTTCATAGTGGACATTACTGTTGTGTTGAACTACAACGACCATCCTAGCCTCTAGGTCAGCATTTGGTATGAAGTTAAAGCCAGTGTGAATGAACTCCTCAAGGTCTGAGAGTTATGCCTCTTGAAAAAGTAAGATGTAATAAAATTCAGAGAGCTTCACAAGGCAGTATTTGGTTCTCTTGATCCCTCTGACATTGCAGTAACCTATCATAATGCGAGACAGGTAGAGCTTATTGCATTTTTTTTACACATAAATTTATTAACCAACTTGGTGTTTAGGCCTAGGTTTCCTTGTTTGTTTTTTTCTTCTTCTTCTCCTGCTGGTTAGTCAAGATCTCTCACTGAGTCCAGAAGCTTTGTTGCTCCCATAAGCACTCATCTGCATATTATTTTTTAATGTATCATTGTTTGTAAGTAATACATTAGCCACTTGCTGTTCCTAACCTTGTTCACAGTAACAAGGGAGGTAAATGACAGCAGGGCAGTAGCCTATTAGAATGGGGCAGCCATCTTGAATTGATGGGTGCACTCTGACCAATAAGGTATAAAAACACACTCCCATTGTTAAGAAGTCTCTCTAATGCTAACCAGCACCACTTATACTTGGTAACTAGTATCTTCTAGTAACAGACTGTTGAAAATTGTCCTATCTGATTATTGATCTCATAATCAACCCAGTATGCGTGACAACATTTGGTACAGCCGGTATTTCTAAGTTATGTTGGTTGTTGATCACATATTCCAGAGATTTATCTGCTCTAATTTAAAACTATGTTCCAGGTGACTTAATGCTGGTACTGACCATACCAATGGATAAGTCTCTGTCTTAGATTTGATGCCTTCTAACATTAGATTTATAAATAATTTATGATAGTAGTGTACTTGTATTTATAATCCAACACACAGTAACTCCAATTGTAAATGAAACTAAACACCTGACCAATAACACTGTATATAGCAAAAACAAAAAGCAAACTAACTGTGTTCCTGAAACTAAATCATGATACTTGTTGGTCATTCAATATACAATCTTATGGCTTTAAAAAATAAAGAATTATACAGTTTCTAAATTTAATGAATGTATTTAAAATAAATCTTACCTCAATTTACGTGTTTCAATTTTTTCACTAATTAAATATTATAAGTACTTAAGTTTAGTGAAGTTACTTGAAAGTTTAAGAAAAATAGATTCACATATAAGACACACATATAAGTGAGACTTTATCCTAAGTCTTTAAATTCTAATAAATGAGCTTTGAAACGTTTACCTGAATAATTTAATAATTGTACTAAAAATATACATGTATTTACTTGACTTTCTGAATGTTCCAAAGATGAAGTCCTTGCCATTTGAATCAGAACTGACATGGCATGCTTGAAGAAGGTATGCCTTGTAGCTTCTGGTTCGGTGACAAGTAGTGCCTAATAAGAACATAAGATAAACTAAAACTCTTTTACATACAAAAAAATTTAAACACTATAACTGGTTATCCTTATATTCAGTGCTCATACACATTTTCTAATCAGACACATCACAGTACCATATTTGCAGCTGCAAAGGATGTATGTAGATACATGTTACATTTTGGAGAGTGATTGTTCGTCTTTAGCAGTGATTATCAGAAAGAAGGAAAGCATGTTAAGATTCTGTGCAGTCTTTACAAAGGTAAACATGGTCAAACACACACACACATCAGTTTTCCTGCTGACAAAAACAGACAAATGTATGAATGCACTGTAATTTGCATACTGGTACAGCACATTAAAGCTGGCTATAGTTGTCTCATTGTGAGGTTTTTCAAATACAAACATTTATTTTGTACAAACAACAGAATTAAGTGGTCAAGAACAGGAAAATAAGTCTAATACATGACTATCAACTTCCTAAATGATGCAGAATTTACAGAAAGTACAAATATAAAATTCTCCTTTACCTGCAGTATTGTTTATACAGCAATTTCTAAAGAATAATTACTCATCATCAAAATTTGTTTAATGGATGATCATAACAGTCATTTTAATGATCAATTTTCCTTAATTCTCACAGTATAATAAGTACAAGAACTAACTTGTTAGAACAGAAGCACAAATAATTCTAAATTTTTTAATTAACAAGTTATTATGTTTTAACTTAGAATTTTCTAATTTATAATTTTGAATAAAAACAAGATTTAAGAGAAGCAATAAATGTGGCTTTTCACTTCTTGATTTATGAAAAACTGTACATAATTTGGCAACCTAAAACAGCATATAAATCAATATGTTGGAACAAAAAACAAAATACATTAAAGCACAATGTTCTGCTGGTATAGGATTTTTCATAATCAGATTACAGAAACAAAAGCAGAAATAAATACTTAAATATTTCAAACGATATACAGGAATATATAAACAAAAGCTGAATACTTGGTATTAAAGTGTTGTTATCAGTAAAACACAATCATAAAAATGCGTGAACCTGCAGGATATTTTGTGTAAAACTGATTGTAGTAATGTGATTATTTATTTATCAAAAATTAGAAACTTTATTTCCATAATTCAAAGATTGTCTTAGTATCAATAAAGCATGTGATGCTAACACTTTCCGTATTTATCAGGCTCTTTTAAAATCTTTAAAATATCTAGTTTAATTCTTCCAGGAGGTGGATTTCTTCTTTCTTATATATTTAAGTAACTTAACCAGACATAACATTTAACAATATAAAAAAAGTGGTAAATGTTTGCTTACTGGATATCATAACACATACTAACACATAACACATAAATAACACATACTATATCGATTCAAGCTATATACCTGAATTCATACTAATAATGAATGTAAAATTAGTTAGGATGAAAAACAATTTAGTTACATGAGATAAATGTTTCAAAGTACACTTATTCCACCATCAATAAAGTCTGAAATTGTATTTGAGAACACAACGTTTAAGAAACAAAGAGCACAGAATATGTTCATATAATTCATGAAGTGAATTAACCAGATGACTACCGACTACTAACTTTCTTAGTAGGCAATGCAAGTCTTGCTATATTTCATTCCAACAATAAAACTAGTGGACGAATATGTTCAAAAGTTCATAAAAACTTTGATAAATGTAGGTAGTTTAAGAAACATAAAGCCTATTACTTTTAATAAATTTAGTTTTTTTGCATTATGATCTTTAATATCTTGGAAAATTACATAAGGAAATGGTATCTATAAGAAATTATTATGATATTCATATTTGTTACAGATTTGAACTTATTACTGTTAATGTTTTAGTACATTATTTTGAAATCCCCAAAAAAATTGCATCCTCCATAAAATGCAAATTTTATTTATTTTAAATTTTTTAATAATCACAAACTCTCTTTATGGTTTCAAGCAATATACAGACCCGAAAATAATATTTGTAAATAAACCTAAACAATAAATGAGCATTTTTATTTTTAACTAGG